AGATGCGTTGTGTGTGCATTGTCTGTACCGTTATTGACTTAATATGGATATGTTTTTTAAACTAAGTATATATAATCAATGTCTTCATCAGACTCAAGAGACTCCGCTACATTACTGTGCAAGAGCTGGTAATGCTGATATCATGCTACAAATGGTAAAACACTTGGGACCAGCCAGAGTACAGTTGGCTGTCAACAGACAATCTAAGGTAGGTTATATAACATAGGGCTTTAGTATACACCTTCATGTATCTTGACCATGGTGTCACATGACATTGATACTGTATACAATATGTTCTATTGTAGAATGGATGGTCGCCATTATTGGTTGCTAGTGAACAAGGTCATATCGACATTGTAAAAATATTACTACAGCACAATGCAAGGGTTGATGTTTTTGATGAGGTGAGTATTAACACAATTTTTTTTTTCATCGTCAAATATTAGTAGAAATTGAATACAATGCTGATTTCTGAATCTCTCAAAATATTGCATTATGTTGGAGTTGTACTGACTCATTGATCACATGACATGAGCTGCCTTGATTGGAGGACCAATGTCAGGTGACAGGTCCTAGAATTAGCATGAAATTTGTTGCTGTATGTCATATTGTAATGTTACAATATTTCAGCATGGTAAAGCTGCATTACATCTGGCAGCTGAGAATGGTCATGTGGAGGTAGCTGACATACTACTGTGGCATAAAGCATTTGTTAATGCTAAATCTAAACTGGGAGTCACACCTTTACACCTGGGAGCCCAGAATGGTTACAACAAATTAATAAAACTATTGATAGAAACCCACAATGCAACAATTGATGCTTTGTCATTGGTAAGTATACTCTGATTATACTTGACAACATGGTAGTCACATGGTAGTCACATGATGTTCGCATGTTACTGGCAGAGAGATGCAGAAAATGACTCTGCAGCAATGTATGATATAGTAATTATTTTCAACAATGTTTTAATTTAATATTTTGCTTCCAGTTCATGTCAATATGTTTCTTTATACTGAATACTTTTTACAATTTCCGTGTTGGAGGATGACATGCATCTGTGTTGCATATATTACAGGCAAAACAGACCCCATTACATATGGCTGCACAGAATGGACAACTTGAAGTGTGTGAAACTCTGCTGAAGATGAAAGCTGACTCCAATGCTACAGACATTGTGAGTATACATATATCATATCTTTACCCAGTTGACTATTGACTGTTAGCTAATGACTGTGGTATTTGCTGTCTGATGAAAATAGATTTTGATCAATGTCAATGAACCATAGGCCAAACATCTATTGACTGGGGAATATTGACAATTGAGTAGTGACATATGTCTATTGTCTGAGGAATACTGACAATTGAGTAGTGACATATGCCTATTGTCTGGGAATATTGACAATTGAGTAGTGACATAAGTCTTGTTTGGGAATATT